TATTAATTTTTAAATAAATTATTTTAAAAATATTTAAAATTATTATAAATAATTTTAATTATTAAATAAAATTGCAAAACGCTTGAAGGGATAATAAAAATATATAAATTGCTATTAATTAAATTTTTTAAGATTTACAAGTAATATAGCTTATTAAACTTAAATTTAGAGAAGGTAAAATATTAAAAGAGATCTAAACTATATTTTAATTTATTTAAAAGATAGTTGTATATTTAAAATATGGGTAAAGTATACAGATATTGTAAAAATATATATAAAGTTATTTAAAGAATTGGATAACACTCTTATAAGAGTGTTATCTAGTTTAGCTATAATATTAGCTAGTTGTGAGTAAACTGTTACCTAGTTATGAATATATTGTTATCTAGTTACTGTTTTTAGTATTCTGTGACCCTTTTATTGCTTTATTACTATCCATTTGATTTTATTACTCTGTAGCCTTTTTATTGCTTTATAGATATTTGCTTGATTTTATTACTCTGTCCTCTTTTTATTTTCTTCTAACTATCTGCCTGTTTTCATTATTCTATGGTCTTTTGTGACCAAGATACTAGGCTGATGTTTATTGCATAAATCATGTTGTGATCGAGTGACGTAGTAAATTTGCAGATCAGATTTTGACCAACACTATGCTATATTTTTGACCTGATCTTTAGGGCAGAATATCTTAGCTTTTCATGATTGAATTTATGCAATTTTAAGCTCGTTTTGAAGAGAGTGTTGAGAGCTTTCCAATAATACTAAGACTGCATTAATTGAATACCTGAATGCCAAGTTATTGCGTCTCAAAGTTTGAAAAAAAAATATAGAATAGTGTTGGCTGAAATTAACGAAATTTATTGTACCTTACTGCGTTAATCACATGTTTCAGTTTCTCGCCAGTTTCAGGCACTTTTCTGCCACTTTTAAGTAACTTTTAAGTAACTTTTGAGAGTCTGGTTTGGTCAGTTAGTTAGAGGATCGGAGGTATAATTTGCATTATATTGATCAGTCTATATATTTTCCTTTTCAATTGCATTTTTGATTGCTGGATGAGGCACGAAGTGCTAAATTTGTAATCTATCTATTTGCTAAAGATGTGTTGCAAACTATTCACTCACTTTTTAATTGCTGATATTGTGCTATTCTTGCAATTCTGCCCATATCAGAAATACATCACTCTTAATAAAGTATACCAACTCTTTTTTCTGCTATACTCCATTATAGATACACGTCTGCAGTATAGGGAACTAAGGCTTTGAAAATATATTTTTCAGATCTAATAATTGAACAAATAGCATGGAATGATATGCGAGAGAGGAGAAGGGCAAGTATGGGACTCTCTTCGCCTGAACATGGTATTTCATCATAGATGTTTCAACTGATTGCTCAAAGATAGACGAGAGTACATTGAAGCTGTCGAAGATGGCGTAGTGTAAGGTAGTGGCAGTATTCTCACTATGAGGGTCAGTTAATTTCAGGTATTATGTTTCAGAGAAAAAAGTCGCTAAAACTTGTTAGATGTATATGTATCAACCTCTAGATCAACTGGAGTAACATAATTTCAAGCAGGCTTTAGCACTATACTTATTGCAATTCTAGGCCTGATGGTCAGACTCTGTGCTAGTTAAAAAAGGACTATGATTTACCCTTCTAGGGCTCTGTAACTAGTATATAATCCTGTAACTAGACGTTTTGATTCTCTCGCCATCCACATTTATACTATTCTGCCAATATCCTTTCTATCACAACCCTACACCACTTGCATGACAATGTTTCTATCGTTACCCCACCAGTTAGAATATTCCAGTTCAGCCAAATTTCAGATAGGTATTTTTGATCTGAACTATAACTGAAATCTGTTCAAAATTAACTGAATTTTATTTCTAAACTTTTTTTCGTGTATGTTGGAAATCACACTGCCACTCGATCAAATTTTGACTAAATTTTGATAAACTTTGGTGATAGCTTTTAGATAAATTTTGACTAACATTCATTATATCGAAATACTGATTTTTAGCTAGCATCAATTACTTTTTTAATTCTGAAATTTGTAATAAACTCTTATTATATTTATTAAATTTATGAAATTACAAATTAGCAAAAAATACTATTTTATTAATTTTAAAATTTTAACAACGCATAAATACATAAAAAGCTCACCAACAAATAATAAAACCTCAATAATCTAAAAAATATAATCTAAAAAATATAGCCTAAAAATATAATCTAAATAAAATAATCATTTGTCTTATACTATAATTAAATAATATAGTAAATAAATGAATAATTAAACGTTAAATCATATCGAAATTTATAATAATTACCTGCTTTCTCTTTACCCTTATCTTTCATCAAGGCATTACGAATCATTCTCATAGTAGAAGACTCACTCTGATGTTCCTCTTCTACACTATATATGATATGTTATATATTTTGATCTTCATACGTATCAGTTTTATTTATATCTCCTATATCAGTCATTTCTTCTATGTCAGTATCATACATGACGTTACTAGCTTGATCTTCGTATGTTCAACTTGAAGCGTTACTTGGAATAGGAAGGTCGAAATGCTGATATGCGTCGTTATAAATCCTAGGTCTTGTTAGCTGTGTAGTCTGTAAAGTTAATGCATGAGGATCTAGAACATTTCTTAATAGATTCTTAAACTAAAAAAAAAATACAAATAAGTAAAACTAAAAATATGCAAGTAAGTTTTATTATAAAACAACTATAAGACGAAATCATCAATCAGTATCAAACCTTCTTAGACCTTCAAGAGCAATCATAAACACATGCGAGACGTTTGCCTGATAGATTTTCCTCGTCAGTTTCACTCAACTCAGGCGAATAATACCTTCTGTCTTTTAAACTCCAATAATTCTTCACGATCATATTTGGTTAATTCAGGATTTTTTGTCATAAGAAGGGCTCTCGCGCCTTTTATGCGATGAATTTTTTTCTAATAATCATAATAGAATTCGTTAATATTGCATAATTGTTAAAAGATCAACCAAATATCAAATTTCATACATCTTCTCGTTGTCCATTAGCATGTAAACACCGGTCATCGCTGTTGATTCTTCCTTTTTTTTTATAATTATTTCTACTGCGTCTAGACTTATGAAATGACCTGAGCCATTTTGTTAGCTGATCATGCGAAGAATGAAAATTCAGTTTTAAAGACTTAATAAGTTCCAGAATTAAACCTCTTCTTATTTCTATATTTGCTTGACTTGAAAATGTTTCATCGTATTTCAAGTCGAGTTCAGAAGGAATGGTCTTCAAAATTGCTTTCATTTCCATCTAAATTATAAAATAAAAATTCAATAAATATTAATTAACAAATAATTATTTAAAAGTTATACAGACCCTTGCACTTTTTCATTCATGTCACGTATATTGTTGTTAATATCATTATCATCTGAATCACTTTCATTCAAACTACTTTCGTAATTAGACTCAGACCTAGAATGTTTACGTTTACGTCTATATGTTCACCTTTTCTTTCTTTTTAGTTTTCGAATTTTTTCATGATTTTCATACTGATTGATTTTTTTCTGAAGTTCATCGTTTTCTCAACTGAATTTCTTGTTGACTATTATTAAAGTTTGATTGAGTTCTTTCAAGTCTTGTAACTCTTTGGTAACTCTGGACAATTTTTGGTGTAATTCTTTATTATCAGTTTTTAATATTGCAATTTCTATTGATAATAAAATATAAAGTATTATGAATTAGAAGTAAATAATAAGTAAATAATTAAGAATCAATAATTAAATCATTTAAAATCACTGCCACTATCTGATGGTTTCTCAATATGAGATTCAGCCTGGTTTTGACATAGAATAGTTCTAGGCAGACGAAGATTTGGAATTGACATCAGAATATCATGATTTATATTAAGTTGAGATAGAGTAGAAGATGTTTATGATGATAATGTAGATTATGAAGGAAAAGGAATTGTTATTGTTCGTGATGATGGTATAGGATATTGTGAAGGAGAAGGTGTCGTTGTTGTTTGTGATAATGGTGTAGGTTGTGAAGGAGAAGGGGTCGTTGTTGTTCATGATGATGGTGTAGGTTGTCTCGAAAGAGTAAATTTTAAAGACATTGTGATTCGTGATGATTTAATTGATGATTTTGGTTTAGTTTTATGTTCTTCTTCCTCTACGTCACTAGAAATTACAAGATAGCAATAATCTTTTTCATCTTTACTTTTTTTTGCAACATATCTCTAATCAAAATGTAAATTATTTTATATTCGAAAAAAAGTTATTACTCTTATTAAAATATTATTAAATTTGGATAAATCGAAAAAAAGTTATTACTCTTATTAAAATATTAAATTTAAATAAAAATCTAAAAAAATATACAACAAACTTTTTAGAAACTACTTCGCAGAAGAGGTCTATTTTTATAGTTTAATTTCGCTTATTAATGAAGTATTAGAAAATATATTTCTGAAGTTTGATAATTATATTAAATGATTTATTTAATTTATGAAATTTGTTTCTAGTTCAATGAATAATTCATCATTTTACTTCATTTTTCTTTATTAATTTTAGTTCAATTAGTCATTCGACATTTGATGAGAATAGTCTAATACTATTTTGGCTCTAGTTCAATGAACAATACATTATTTTCTTTATTGATTTTAGTTCAATAAATAATATAATGATATACTTAGATTAATAAATTAATAATTCATAAGACGAATTTTGAATCGAATTCAAAGAAAAATTGATTGAAACTCTCATTACAAATTATCGAATATTAGCAAAATAGGACAAAAAAGGATGATAGCTAGTATATTGACGAAAATCCTGAAACTATCAAAACTAGTTCTGAAGCTCGATCCATTCAATCAATTGTTCAACTAAGAAAAAATTCTAAAGTACCCTGTTTTTGTAATAATTGCAAAAAATCTTTAGTTGATCACCGCATAAGAACATGACATGAACTGTTAAGCGAACTGAATAATTCATATTCGGCAAATGTCTCAGCAGATAACTCATTATCATCTCTACCAGAGATTTATTTACAAGATGAATCATCCGCTGACATTTTGGGAAATCCTGAAGTTTGAACAAATGTCAATGATGAATTATATAAATCTACTGCTTTAAACAAACAATTATTATATAAATCTACTACTTTAAACGAGCAAGAAGATAATGATGTTCAAAAGTATTCGTATAACTTATTACCATGAAGACGAACGCTAAGACACACAAATCTTTCAGCTGAAGTTTCCATTGGTGATATTAGACAAGTGGACTTGATAACAGAAGAAACAGATCAAAATGATGATACTTCTTCAGACGAAGATATTAACCCAATTGCCAAAATTTTTGAAGATTATTTGTGTCCTGATTTTGAACTGCTTCAAGATAAGAAAATGATATCTTCAACAAAGATCGATAATTCGCAATTTCTGTGGATATTATTATAGATAATGAGTTTTCGAACAAGGTTCAACCTTCTAGAAATGGCAACAGAAGCATTAATTAAATTTATGAAACTAGTATTAACAGAAATTAGTGGTGTCGAATTTGAAAATTTTCCTGATTCTTTATATTTACAAAAAATGTTCTTGAATTTAGAGATGATGAATTTTATAGTTTTGTGTCATGTCCGAAATGTCATAAACTATACAAAAAGAAAGAAGTGACAGACTTCTATCAAGACGGAACACTCGCTATAATGAAGTGCAGTCATGTGAAGTATCCAAATTCAATAAAACTTAGAGTATGACAATGTCAAGAGCCTTTATCACATCAAACAAAATTATTAGATGATCAGATTTTAATTACACCTATTTTAACTTATCTGTTTTCTGGTATTCGACAACAATTGTTATCTATGTATAATCATCTGAATTTTGAAGAATTTTTATGCCATTGGTCTAATCGTCAACAATTTCAAAATATATTGACTGACATTTACAATGGCCAAGTTTGGCAAACCTTCAAAGATACAAATGAAGAAGGTTCGCCTAACTTCTTTCGACTAGAAGTTGCTGATTCACAATATCGGTATAATATATACCATTATATGTAATTTACCAAGAGACATACATGCATTTTAAGCGTGAAAATATATTAATTTTTGGTATCTTACCAGGACCAAATGAGTTTAGTTTGCATAAAATTAATCATTATTTGGCTCTAATTGTTGACGAATTGAAGTCACTTTAGAATGGTGTGATTCTCACTAGTACATATGAATGTTAAAATGGAAAGGAAATTCAGGCAGCATTGATCTTGGTCACATGTAACATCCCGGCCGCTAAGAAAATTTGCGGCCATATTTCATCACTTGCTTCATGTCACCGGTGCAAAAAGCATACCAATTATGAAAATAGGCAAAACAACTTTGCAGGAATAGGCAATATGAACAAATGGTTTGTTGCTAGAGATTCGACAAAACATCGTAAAAATGCACTTGGTTGGCGACGTTGCAACTCTGAATCTTCAAGAAAGCAATTTGTTAAAACCACTAGAGCTAGATGGTCAGAATTGCTACGTTTACCATATTTTGATCCTATTTGGTTATTAACTGTTGACCTGATACATTGCTTATTTTTAGGTATTGCAAAATTGATAGTGAAAAAAATTTGAGTCGATGGGAATATTTTGACATCAACTATTTTAAAAGATATTTAAAAAATGATGAACAATTTTCAAGTACCATTTGATATAGGTCGCATTCCAAGAAAAATAGACTGCAGTGAAGGATTTTCAAATTTTACTATGAATCAATGGAGAATATTTTTTATAATATATGCAACTGTAATTCTTTGAAAGTACCTTTCAGACCAAAATCGGAGAATTCTTTATCATTTTGTAAGAATTTGTATACTTTTAACAAACTGCATTTTAAAAATAAATTCAGTTAGAGATGCACATCAAAGATTGATTGAAATTATGAAGCTAATAGAAGATACATATAGGCGAGACAAAATCATATCAAACCTTCATCTTTCGCTTTATTTGAGAGAATGCACTTTGATTACATGCATTCTGGTGTTTCTCCTTTGAACATATAAATGGTATTTTAGGTAAATTTTCTTTTTTTTTGTTATAAATATTGGGCATGTGAGAAAATTTAATACCAAAACTCAGTAACTTTTTGATTAATTTTAGGCAGCTTACCGAATAGCCATAGAAATATTGAACTGGAGCTTATACGCAGATTATTGCTTGATAATCACATTAATACTATAAGTTTCAATTCAAAAATAAAAGGCTCAGAATTGCTCGATAAGCGACCTTCAGTGGATCTTTATCAGAAACTGACGAATTTTCTTTAGGTGAAATGAAACAATTTCAGTTATATTCACAAAATATTTAATAATCACCAATTACTGGATGTGAACCATTTTCAGGCGAAATGATGAAACCTGTTTCTGAAGATTTAATAATTTCAAGTTCAATACTTGATTTATTAGTTGAATATTATATAGGGACTTACAAAATATTAGAATTTCAAAAGCCATTTGGAAAGGGTCATGAAGATTCAATAGTAATTCCTGTTAAAATGAGCAGTTTCAGAAGATGTAGAATCAGCTCTGAAATATTCAGTTCAACAATGTCATTCCGTCATGTAAAGAGTTCATTTATCTTATCAAAATTTATCAAACATGATGGCACTATTGATACTTATCCTGGACAGGTACAATTCTTTTTTTTTTATAAGATCATGATAAAGATGAATTAGTTCATAATTTAGCATTCGTACGGTGATATGAACTTGTAAATTATCGGTATTATTTTAATATTAATGGTGACGAAATTTGCAATGTTGAATTTTGGGATATTGAATTTTCTCCTGAAAGATAAGATTGCATAATTCTAGTTCATCACATTTTAGGACGGTTTGTACTGGTAAAGTACAAAATTTCGGACAGAAAAAATGTAAAGAAATATTTAGCTGTAAATTCAATAAATAGAAAATTTAACATTCGTTAAAAATAATAAACAGTATTTAAAAACGAATAACTTTTATAATAAAACCATTTATTAGCATTTATAACTTTTGGAATTTTTTATACAGTTTGGAAAAAAATTTCAGAAATCACGTGAGTTCGAAATTGAGTCAAAATTTAAGGTATACCAAATTTTAACTGAAATTTATTCTGAATAGGTATTAACTTTGCCAAAAGTCACATGACCGAAATTTCTTATTTCGACTAGTGCCTCCTATATTGTTATGTAAAATATTATCTACATTAATAGGGTTTTTGTATCTAGTTACACATTATCTTGATCTCTTTCTAGAGCAATTAATTTGCTAGGTGACACATTGTTTGCATGTTAGATTTGAGGGTGAAATTACTTCCATATCCTTATCTCTATACTGATTCACAAAATATCGTTCCTATCCTTATCTCCTATACTGCCTGAAGTCTTATTTTGCCTGTGCTGAATCCAGTATCTTCTACAATCCTACTCCTATATTGTCTTGTAAAATATTATCTGTATCTATGGGATTTTTGTATCTTGCAAAACCTTATCTTGATCCTCTATTACTTCGACAGTCAAGAGAGCATGATCCAGATAAACTAAAATATTATTTCTAACTTTGATTAAATACCATGATCCTTAGCTAATATTGTGATCGTTCTCTATGTGAGTTTTTGGTCAACTTATACAAGGGGATATGGGTATTGAAGAGTTTTCCGCCTAAATCAAAAAGACTGGTAAATTAGTTAGAATAACACCTGAACAACAAAGAGAGTAATTAATTTTTGGCTTAAGTTCTATAAACTAGTATAATCTTCGAATAATGGCTAAGTTTCATGATACATATGACAATATTGTAGAAGCCTTAGCTGAAGCGGAAAAATTTACATTATCTCAAAAGAATACACCATCTTCTTTTCTAATTTTTTTAGCGATCAATCCATATGTAAAAACTAACAAATCAGGAATGACTAAAACTAAAATTGAAAGCTTAATAAAAAATACAATGGCATTTTTAGAATCCCAACGATCTCAACAAGTAGCTTCATCGTAATTCCAACTACATCCTGCAGGAACGTATAAAATTTTACGAGATAAAAATATAGGTAGGTTTTTATCATAGATTATAGAAGAAACCCCAGAATTTGTTCCTGTCCCTAATCTTACTTTGTCACCAAAGCCAAAGAAAAAGGTTGAAGTTGATTCTGACAAAGAATTTGCTGAGCTTA